CTCTCCCTGGCCGCCCTGAGGCCCTTCTCCCGGTGCACTGACTCCCCTAACTTGTCGCGTCTGGGGGGCGGTGGGGGGGCAGGAGCGCGTTCTCCGCCTCTGTGCCCGGGATGTCAGCGCAGGCCTGGCCCCTCTGTGGACAGCCTCCTGGACGAGAGGTCAGAGCCCCAATGCCCAACTGCTACCCAGTTTTGCCCGGAGTCCCTGGAAAGAGTCTTGTGAGGGGAAACAGGCATCTGGGAGAAGCCGGCTCCGGGGTCTCGCATTCTCTGGATGGCACCAACCCCCCCCCCACACACACACACCCTTCTTTGGCTGCTCCAGGCTCCAGCACTTCCTCCCAAGCACGAAGTGAGGGCTGGGGTCTCCTGAGATTCTCGACGAGGCCAGAGGCAGGGGTGTGGTCTTTGTTTTAGTTTCCCACTGACAGGACTCCCCGGAACTCTCACGTCAGGGTCCCCCTCTAGGAGCCACCTGGCTGGTTTTTCTTGGCCCACCTGGTCATCATTTTGGGGACTCCCCCTGCAGTGCTCAGGGGCAGCTCCTGCAGGTGCTGAGGGGACGGTGTTCTGGGTCTTCAACCCCAGGTTCCCACACAGAAAGAGTTTTGAACCCCGGTCAGTGGGTTGCTCTTGCTTCCCACAGTCCCTGCCTGTGGCAGCGAGTGGCACCCAGCCCCCACCAGTGAGCTTCTGGCTGGGAACTCAGCTGGCAGGTGTGAGAAAACGGGGGTCGGGCCCATGAGGGCGGGAGCACGGAAGCCAGGCAGGTGGCCCCAGGCCGCTCTGCCTTTCCTGAGTGTGGCCAGGTCTGCTCTCTGCCAACGGGCGCGAGCCGTGAGTGCCATCAGAGTCCGAGCACTGCGGAAGGAGCCTCGCAACACAGCTCATTCTCATCAGCACACCAAGAGATCATCCGAGATCCTCCCTGGTGCCCTGTCACCCTCCCACACTGCCCTGTCCTGTCCCTCCCTGGGGCCAGCATGACCTCCCGGGACCGACACAACCTTCCAGGGCTGGCACACCCTCCCGAAACCAGCAAAGCATCCTGAGACCAGCACAGCCTCCTGAGACCAGCACAAACCACTGAGACCAGCACAGCCTCCTGAAAACCAGCATGACCTTCCAGAAACCAACACAACCTCCCAGAACCAGAAACCAGCCCCCCAGAAACTGCCACAGCCTCCTGAAAACAAAACAACCTCCAGAACCAGCACAGACTCCTGAAACAGGAACAGTCCCTGAGACCGGCACAACCTCCCAGAACCAACACAGCCTCCTGAGAGCAGACACAGCCTCCTGAAGCCTGTACGCCCTCCAGAGATGGCACAACCTCCTGAAACCAGCACAGCCTCTCAGACCAGCACAGCTTTCCAGAACCAACGTGACCTTCCAGAGCCAGCACAGCCTCCTGAGACCAGCTCAGCCTCCTAGAACCAGGACAGCCTCCCAGACCTATAACCACCTCTCTGGTTGAACACCTCAAGCCCTGCTGCCCAGCCCCCTCAAGACGACTTAGACCTATCACCAGTATCAGCGGCCACTTTTTTTGTCCTTTCCTGCTGGTCCTAAGAAGTATTTAACAGGCTTCCCACTCCCTGCTTCTTGAAACTCATTTTGGGGGTGCTGCTTGCTCCTAGGGCAGCCGTGCTCTCTCCTGCTCTGCTTGCTGGTCTCCCTGTCCTCATCTCTCTGCCCTGACCATCTGTCGACTCCCAGTTCCTCCTCCTGAGGGGCCTTCCTGAGCTTGGGACCCCTACTCCAGGTCCACAGGACCCCATAGAGATGTATTCCCCACAAATACTCCCTTATAAGGCACTGGGCCTGGGGGTTAGGGCGGGCACTGATGAACCCCATAGCCTCAGTTTCCCCTCTGTGTTGAGGACAAGTAGAGCACTGTCTGAGTGGAAGGAGGACACTGCAGTGAGCAAGTGCCTCCTCCCAGCCTGGGCGTTCACGACCCCCGGGGCCACCCTGCCTTCTGCTTTGGGCCAGTAGGGTGTGTGGAAAGAAATCAAGGGGTGGTGGGGGGAGCGCTGGACATGGCTGACCTGGGTCTGATCCCCACCACCCCATATGGTCCCCCGAGCACCTCCAGGGACAATTCCTGAGTGCAGAGCCAGGAGTTACTGCCAAGCATCACCGCTGGGTGTGACCCAAACAGGTGCCCCTGGCGTCTGCCCCAGCACCCGTCTGCAGCAGCAAAGTACTTACTCCAGGGCATCTCCCGGGGATTGTTGGCGGCCCCAGGGCTACTCCTGGGGGTGCTCAGGAGACCATAAAGACTGGGGATCAAGCCCAGGGTGTGGCTTGGCTCCCACCTCCCCCTGTCCTCTCTCTCTCCTTTGCATTTCTTCTTTTCTTGGTGAACCAGGGGTAGAACCTGGGGCCTCTCACACATGAGACAAACACCATCCCCGGCCCTTGTCGGTTCTTATAAACGGCCAGGCCCGAGAGGCCCAAGAGGCCCGAGTCCCTGGACTTCCCCACTGACAGCTGCCAGATGTACCCTCAGAAACAGCACAGGGAGCAGATGCTCCCAGGCCGGGGGTTTCTCTTTTTCTTTCTTTTTTTCTTTTTTTTTTTTTTGCTTTTTGGGTCACACCTGGCAATGCACAGGGTTTACTCCTGGTTCATGCACTCAGGAATCACTACTTGCGGTATCAGGGGACCATATGGGATGCTGGGAATCGAACCCAGGTTGGCCGCGTGCAAGGCAAACACCCTAACCGCTGTGCTATCGCTCCAGCCCCAGGCCAGGGGTTTCAGCCTGGATCTGAACAGAGCAGATGGCGCCAGGAGGGAGGGAGCTGCAGGGAGGCCCCTGGCAGGAGGCGGAGGGTCTCAGGGCTGGGAACTTGCTTTTATTTTGTTGTGTGTGTGTGTGTGTGTGTGTGTGTGTGGGTGCTTGGGGTGCTCCTGGGGGTTCTCCAGGAGGCCAGATGTGCTGGGCCTGGGCCCGGGACTCCGTCATGCGAGGCTCCGGGCCCCACGCTGACTTCTGAACTGGTGTGGGAGGGACAGTATCCCTTAACCGTGATGTCAGCCCACATTCCGCCAATCAATCCATCCGATGTGAAAGTAAGTCGAGCAGAGCACTGTGCCTGGAGCACTGAGGGGCGACCAGGCCTCGTCCCTGCACCAGGGTGTCTCCTCTGCCCCCCCGTGTGCCTCCCCCTCGCAGCTCTGGGTCCCCCACTGTCTGACCTTTGGGGAACTCCCCGGGGCCTCGTGTGTTCTCAGCTCGGTCTCAGGAAAGGGGGCCTCGACCACGGCAGGGCTGGGCAGTGTGAGCCCTACCGGGGGCAGCGGAAACCCAGACAGCGCCTGCCTGGCCTGGGCAGTGCATGGTGTCCACTAGGACCAGACTCTGCTCTGGGTGCCCCGGACACCCCCACCCCCCACCGGCTTGTTTGAGGGCAATATCGGGGGTGCCTGGGGGCTACTCCTTGCTCCGTGCTCTGGCGTGGCAGGCAGCGGGGCTGGGGGTCAGGTCCAAGCACCCCATCTCCCGGCCTCAGGCCAAACTGCAGCTGTGGGGGTTGTGGGCATGAGGCTGAGCTCCATCCCTGGGAGTCCTGATGATCTTACCCCTCGCCTGCCCCAACACTGGGCTATGCCAGCAGGGAAGGAGAAGTGACCGGTTGAGCCTGCGACTCCCTGGCCCCGTCCTCCGGGATGAGGACAGGATACCCCAAGGACAGCAGGCCCCGCCTGAGCTCACTCCTGTGGGCGTCGTCCCGTGAGGGATGACCAGGAATTTTTCCGGTGGCAGGGATGGCCCTCACCCCGGGTACCACTTGGAGTGGGGCTGGGTGCACGGGGACAGCGGATAGACCTGGGCCCCGGTTACAGAAGGAGGGAGACTGGAGCAGCCGCGACTACCAAGGGGTCTGCTGGGGACCTCCCAGCCTGGGGTCCCCTGCAGTCCCGAGCTCCGAGCCCGGAGTAATTTCTGCCCGGCAGCCGCTAGAGGGCAGCCTGGCTCTTCAGAGGAGCGTCACCAGCGCCGCTGGCCCCTTCTGTCCTCATCCCACTCCCAGGGGCCAGGGCTGACCAAGGCTGCCACCGGCGGAGGAAAGGGGGTGTTTAAGCCTTGCCAGCAGCACCCCAGTTCCTCCAGGGTGATGGGCCTGTGCCTCTCCTGGGCCTGCAGGGACTTTCCTGAAGCTCTGCACGAATGGTGACCTCCAGGGCGAGTGCTTGGGCCTGTGTCCCACTGGAACTGGACAGGCCATGGCGGGGGGGGGCTCCCCAGAATCCCGGGTGCCTGAGTTCTCACGGGGCCCAGGATTCCCGGGGCAAAGGGGGCAAGGGTGTGGTCAGGCTCCTGTACGGAGCGGTCAGTGAGGACAGCTGGGCCTGGCCAAGCGGGGGCGCCCCTCCCTTGGGAGCCGGTGGCACACGCAGAGAAAGTGCAAGGTGCAGCCAAGAGGGGCTGGGGGGCTGTGTGGGGTCAGGAAGGGGACCCTCAGGGGGGAGAGGGTGTGACCGTTCTCAGGAAATAAGGGTTGGCAGAGCTGAGACCCCACGCCCCCTTCCTGGGAGGTGGGGTTCCCACGGAGCACCCCCTAACCCATCACTAGGGGTAGCAGGGAGGTGCCCCCCAGGCCTGTGGCTGACTCTGGGGGTGCGGGATGGGGTCCTGCTGCTGACTGCCCGCAGCCCTGGTGCCCCCAGCCCCATCTGGACAGACGCTGCTGTGACCCCACGTCAGATAAGACTCAGTGCCATCTCCAGCGGGCCCAGGGCCCGGGGCCCCTGCTTGGCCCCGCAGATGGGAGCTGGGGGCTGGGGGGGCCGACTGGGGCTTCACAATGGGGGTCAAGGCCGCAATCTGGAGCAGAGTGAGGTGTGCCGAGACCCCCACAGCATCTGGTGGTCAATGGGGCTCGGCCCTGGGCACCATGCCCCTCGCAGGAGAGAAAATGGGGTCCGGTCTGAGGTCGGGGTTTCCCCAGGGTCAGTGGGGCCAAGGGGCTGCGCAGGGTGAACCGGGGCGACACACGTGGCGCAGGAAGCGCTCATGGCTTTAATTCTGGCCAGGGTTCCCCACTGACCCCCGCGGCAGGGCGGCCGCCTGCGCCATCGTGATCAGCTATAAAAATAAATATGAAAAACATGGCAAGTCTTGAGCCTCCGGGCTGCGTCTGCCGGCGAGTGAGTGTGGAGCTGGGAGGCCGGGGAAGCGTGTGGGGCCCACATCTCAGCGAGGTGCAGTGCCGGGTGCAGGCCTACATCTTGGCAAAGGTGCAGTGCCGGGCGCAGGCCCACATCTCGGCAAAGGTGCAGTGCCGTGCACGTGGGTCCACGTCTTGGCGTCGGCTGGACTCACATCTCGGCGTCGGCATACATGCCATTGATGAGATAGTCCACCTGCGTGTAGTCCTTCTTCTTGTAGCTCTCGTAAGCCTGCAGCGCCAGCAAAACCGCCACGGTCAGCAGGAGTGTCACCCCCAGCACCAGTGCCACCAGGAGGAAGCTTCTGCTGACAGGGGTGGGCGCCAGGGGCTCGGGGGTGATCAGGTACGGGCCCGGGGAGCTGGGTGGGCACGCATCTGTGGTTGGCACCTGTGGGCCCCCCGAGTGCCCTGGTGTGGGGCCAGTGGTGGCCTCAGGCCCGGGTGGCTCGGGGGTCAGGGTTGTGGGTGGCACAGGGCTTGGCTGCGTCACGTGACCCGGGCTGGCAGAAGGCGCTGGTGCAGTGCTGGTGGCTGGCGTCTGGGCCGAAGCCCTGGTGGTGGTCCCCGCAGTGGGAGTCCCAGGAGCCGCCGTGGGGGTCGTGGGCTCCAGTGGTGTGCCGGAGGGGGTGGCTGTGGTCCTGGGGGTGGTGGTGGCCTGTGTGGATGCGTTAGAAGCCGGGGACCCGGTGGGGGACAGGCCACTGCTGGGGGTGTGCGGGGGCATGGTGGGCGTACCGGAGGGGGAGGCGGCACTGGTTTCTGCACCGGAGGATTCGGGGACACTCAGGGTCTGTGAGGTCAGGGCTGTCCCATGGGGCGGCGGGCGGCTGCTCACGGAGGGCCTGGGGGTGCCGGGGATGGCGGTGGAAGCCGGGGTTCGGGCTGACTCTGGGCTGGAGGGCATGGGCACCTCGGGGGACGTGGGCTGAGGGCCACCTCCCGTGGCTGCCGGGGAGCCCGCGTCTGTTCTGTGAGACCTGGGAGACGTGACCGCAGGGGCCCTGGGGGTGGGGGCCGAGGTGTGAAGGGCTGTCGGGATGGAGGAGGCCGCCTCCACCATCTGTGCGGGCGACGTGGCACTGTGGTACCCGGAGTCCGTGGCACTGGGCGTCCTGGAGACGTTTGCAGGGGAGGTGGCGTTAGCAAGTGCAGCGTCCATGGCACTGGAGTGTCCAGCGTCCAGCGAGACATTTGTGAGGGATGTGATGTTGGGCTGTCCAGCGTCCAGCGAGACATTTGTGAGGGATGTGATGTTGGGCTGTCCAGCATCCAGCGAGACATTTGTGAGGGATGTGACATTGGGCTGTCCAGTGTCCAGCGAGACATTTGTGATGGATGTGACGTTGGGCTGTCCAGCGTCCAGGGAGACATTTTTGGTTGCTGAAGTCGGAAGGACACCAGGAGAGGGCGAGAGAGCTTGAGAGAGAGGGAGAGAGAGACGCTGAGACGGGAGGGACACTGTCACTTGGACACCCGCACGAGGCCCCGTGGGGGCTGGCCTGACCCCTCTCTTCTCCGAGTCAGGACCAGAAACACAAGGGGAGTCTGCCAAAGACGCAGGAACATCTCTCGACTGTGCCCGGGTCCCTCCTGACTGTGCCCAGGGTCATGCTGGGAGAGATGTGCCAACGGGCAGCAGCATGGTAGAGTGTTTGCCTCGCATGCGGCCAACCCAGTTCAATCCCTGCCACGTTCCCCTGAGCACTGCCAGGAGCAATTCCTGAGCACAGAACCAGGAATAACCCCTGAGCAACACTAGGTGTGCGCCCCCACTCCCCAAAAAAAATTACAAAAAATGAAATGAAGCTTCAGGCCCCGATGAAGGGACGCTCTTGGGACCCAGAGGCCTGGTACTGGGGTCTGGGGGCTCCCTACTCACACCGGCCCGGGAGAGGCTGAGCTCGGATCTCGGGGGGCTGCGGGGGTGGGGGCGGTGGCTTTGGGGCGGCTGCGGGGAGCCGTGACCACAGCCCGTGACTTACACAGCGTCGAGGGCAGCTCCTGGCTCTCAGAGCAGGTCAGGAAGGAAACCCCAACAAGCACCAGCGCCGTCCACATCTTGCAGGTGGCGAAGGCCGCGCGGTCCCCGGGTACCCGGCAGGCTGCTCAGGCGCGTGCGATTCCCGCGGCCCGGCCGAGGGACCTGCGCTGGGAAGAGGGCATGATAGGGACCCGCACTGGGCGGCCCGCAGGCACCCCTGCCCCCTCCGCCCCGTCTGACCGCCAGTCTCAGCCGCCCCGAGTGCTCCACTCACTGCCCCTGAAGTTCAGAGCCCGAGGGGGCGTGAGAGGACCGCGACGCCCCGTTTCACAGCCAGGACAGACCTCCCCACGCCGGCCCGGCGCCTCCCAACTCGGGCCAAAGGCGCCGAGCAGGCCCAATATTCCCCGGCACTCCTGGGCCAGGCGGCGTATGGAAAAGGTGCCAGTCTCCTCGCCAGTCCCTGCTGGGAGCCGCCCCACAGCGGGGAAACACAGGGACACGCGGGGCGTGGGCCTGACAAGTGACAGGGAGCAGGTGGCCCCGGCAGGCCCTGAGGGGACTCTGACGGCTGATCCGCGGGAAAGGGCCCCACACATGCGGCACGACCGAGGGGGCCGCAGGGACCCAGAAGTGGCCCTGAGTCAGTTTGTGTGTGTGTGTGTGTGTGTGTGCGCGCACGCGCGCGTGTGAGTGTGTACGCACACAAGAGTGTGTGTGTGCATGTGTGCATTCATGCGTGAGTGTGTGTGTGCGCATTCATGCGTGAGTGTGTGAGTCTGTGTGAGTCTGTGTGTGTGCATGTGTGTGTGCACACGTTCATGCATGTGTATGAGTATATGTGTGTTTAAATATATGTGTGTGAGTATGTGTGTGCGTGTGTATGTGCGTGTGAGTATATGTGTGTGTGCATGTATGTGAGTGTGTGAGTGTGCGTGTGTGGTGGGGGGCCAAGGGCGAGGGTCGAGGAGGGCATCCTGACCAAGCGACGCCTGGGCCGCCTTCTTCAAGGTGGGTGGGGTCCACCTCGCCAGGGGTGCCGGCGAGGCCAGAGACCCCAGGAAGACCCCCGAAGCTGGGCTGGAGGCACAAGGCCATTGGCATTTTGGGGGTCTAGAATGAGAAACCCCCAGGCGTGGGAAAGGGTGGGCGACAGGCGCAGAAAGGGGCCCCAGGAGTGGGGGCAGGGGCAGACCCGGGGAACGTGGGCCTGAGAAAGGGGGTCCCCACAAGAGGGGAGGCAGCGGCACGACCGCGGCAGCCTCCAGAGAGGCCAGGCGAGGACGAGCACCAAGCAGGACGGTGGGGGGGGGGGGCTGGGGCCAGCAGGGGCCTGGGAGGACACGGGCTTCAGGGGTCCTGCCCTGCACCCGAGGTGCCTCCTGCCCCCACTCCTCAGCGCCCAGGAAGGGGCGTCCTAAGACCTGGCCTGGCCCGGGAACGGGCCACTGTCCTCACACACAGGCGGCTTTCAGGGGCAGCGTGGACCCTGACCCCATCAGCACGGCCAAACCCCCTCAGTCACTGCCCAGAAGGGTCCCGGCCCCCCAGCTGACCCTGCTGCCACGGCGTCCACCCCTCAGGCCCCGGGGTGACCCCCATGCTTCTGGGCGCCCCCAGCCCGTCCCCTGAGCACCCACCCCGCCGGGCACCAGAACACAGAGGGCCTGGGGCCTGGCCCAACCACAAGGTGAACTTCCAGCTTGGCTGGGACCCCAAAGCAGCCGGGCGGCACTCAGCAGGGCATGGGCACTGCCATGGGCGCCCGCCCCGCCCTCCCCACGGAGCAGGGCGTGGTTCTGCACACAGACTCCCCGTGCCCACGGCCCGTACGGGTGGGGCGAAGGCCAGGGGCAGGAGCGGCCCCGGGACTCACTGGCACTCAGGGTCACAGTTCCCTGGGCGTGGGGCGCGGGAGTCCCAGGCTGAGCCTCAGTTGCCCGGGGCCGGTGCTATCTGCTGGGAGCTGGGGGCAGGGCTGGAGGGCCAAGTGCACCTGCCCCTGGCAAGGCCCCACCCATGGTGCTCAGGGCTGACTCCCAGCTCTGTGCTCAGGGCTCCCTCCCGGCTCTGTGCTCTGGACTCACTCTTGAGAGTGTTCCGGACTGACTCCCGGCTCTGTGCTCAGGGATCCCTCCTGGCAGGCCAGGGAGACCACATGGGCTGCCAGGGATCGAACCCGGGCCGGCCTCAGGCAGGGCCAGCCAGCGCCCACCCATTGGACGACCGCCCGGCCCCAAGCAGGGGCTGTTCCCCAGGGCCGGGAGTGCTCTTCCCCGTGGCCTGGCGGGTGGCACAGGGCGCGGGGCAGGGGAGGCAGGGGGTGCCTGCGCTTTGGTGAGCCTGAAGGGCTGAGAGCAGGTGCGGGGGCGGGGGGGGGGACAGGCCCTCCCCATCCTGGGGTAGGGGAGCACGATGCACTGAGCAGTGGTGGGTGCCGGATACCGGACGTGGGCAGCCTCCTGCGGAGTTCTGGGGGTCAGCACCTGCTGCCAGGGGGCTCGGCCCCACGCCCAGCTGCTCCGCCCTCCCCTCCCCCTCACTGGCCCTGTGCGGCCCCCCGGCACCCCGCACCCGGTGGCCTGCAGGCCCGGCCACTCACCAGAGGCGGCTGCTCAGGGCGCGCTCCCGGGCCGGCCTCTTCCTCCGGGCAGGGCCGTGGGCTGGGCCCGGGCACGCGGCGGGCAGGCGAGGGCGGGCGCAGGGCTGGGAGGAGCGCGCCCAGGCCATGGCACGCGAAGCACGCGGGGACGGGTGGGCGGCCCACGCGGGGGCCCACGCATCTGGGGAGAAAGAAGATTCCTGAGCTGCGCCTGGACCCAGGGGACCCGAGGCGGGGGGTGGGGAGGTGGGGGCGGCCGCCTGCCCGCCGCTGCCCACAGCTCCGAGTTCCGGGCAAGGACACTCTGTATCACAGCGGCCAGCGCTGCCGGGAAGTGGCTCCGTTCCCACTCGTGTGCCAGGGCCGGGGGAGGCCCGCGTGAGCGCCCCACCCCAGACACGGGGCCCAGCAGCCTTCTTGGGGCGGGCGGGGGAGGGGCAGGTCCAGCACAGAGGCCAGTGGAGAAGTGCCACGTTGGCGCCACCCGGAGCGCGCGGTGCGTGGGGGCCCCGGTGGGTCTCGCCAAGTCAGCTGGGCAGAGGGGGCTCAGGCCCCTCGAGGGGTGCTGGTGCGAGGCAACGCCTGTGGTCTGCGCCCTGACCCATGCATGGGCCCCCACACGTGTCACCCACGGCCACACGTGACACGGGTCACTGTCACACACGGAGGCGGCACAATGGGGGTCCGCACTGCAAGGCCGACTGTCCCCCGGGACAGAAGCAGGCCGGACACTGCAGGGCCACCCCAGATTCACACGCGGTGACCCGAGCTGACCAGGCGGGCCAGCAGCCTTGCCGACCCCGCAAGACTCAGGGCCCCTCTCCCCCGACCCAGGTCCGGCCTGTTCCAGAACCTTCTGGTTGGTCGGTGCACGAAGCCGGGGAGACGAGATCTCAGCGCATCATCAGTGGAAAGAAAAGAGATTTTTTTAGGGGACAGGTGGACCAAAAGAAAAAAACCACAGGCTTTTGTTTTTTGCTTTTTTGGGGTCACACCCGGCAATGCACAGGGGTTCCTCCTGGCTCTGCACTCAAGAGTTACTCCTGGCGGTGCTCAGGGGACCATATGGGATGCTGGGAATCGAACCCGGGTCGGCCGTGTGCAAGGCAAACGCCCTACCCGCTGTGCTCTAGCTCCAGCCCCAGGCTTTTCTTTTTTCTCTGTTTTTCCACACCCAGCGATGCTCAGGGGTCACTCCTGGCTCTGCACTCAGGATTCATTTCTGGCGAGCTCGGGGGACCAAGTGGGGTACCACGAATCAAACCCAGGTCTGCTCCATGCAAGACAAGTGCCCTACCCGCTGTAGTATCACTCGGGCCCCCCTTTCTCAGGTAGCAGCACCCCAAAGCTCGGCAGTACCCCCTGGAGCGCTCCCTCCCCTGCTGAGTGCTGGGTGTCGACTTCCAGATCCCTTTCCGGTTGGGCTGTGGCGGGCACCACGTGTCAGGTACACAGATGCAGGTGCCAAACTGTTCCTTGTTCTGACTCAGACCCAAGACCTGGAGACCGTGGTCCGCAGGCCCAGGAAGGAGCTCACCTGGTGACGTTTCTAATTTTGGGTCCCTACTGCCACACCCGGGGGCAAGGTGCTAGGGGAGCGAGTCCTGGAAAACGGCAGGTCCTAACCAGGCCACGTCACCGGCTGCACTTGGGGAGCGGGGCTCAAGGAACAGAGCCCCGTGGTTTGGTGTGTCTGGACATTGCCCTGTGCCTGCATGGCAGACGGGAGCCTGTGGCCCGGGCGTCGCCTCAACGGACTCCGTCAGTCACTCCCCTGACCCGACCCGTCGTTATCACAGTGAACTGCTGGGCAAGGGTCTAGTTTTCGCTGGCGACCTGGGGGAAACGTGACATTGCCTGCATGCCAGTGCCTTCAGCACAGAGACAGAGGATGCGTTTGCGAACGACCTTTGCTGACGCTCCCAGAGAAAGGCTGGAGCCGCAGGGACCCCACCCGAGCGGCAGGCGGAGCCCCCTGCGTTCAGCGAGACGGGGCCATCCAGCTCACCAGGGGAGGCAGGCGGGGAGCTGGGCAGAGCCCTAAGGGGTGACCCCACTCCTCCTCCACCCCCAAACTGGGACAACCTGGGCCTCCTCCGCTCGGGCTGGGGGTCCCCTTCGGTTCCCTCGTCCCAGTGGAGCGCCTGCCTCCTCCCTCTGACTCTGGCCGGCAGTGCTCCATCCGCTATGCTCCTCCCGGCCTCTGCCCCCATGCATCCCGCTCCTGCCTTCGGCCCCTTCACCCTCCTCCTGCCCTAGGGCCTCACTCCCCTTCCTCCTGCTGCCATTCAGCCTCCTCCCCCAAGTCCCCCTCCTCCCCCCAAGTCCCCCTCCTCCCCCCCAGTCCCCCTCCTCCCGCCCCATTCACCCTCCTCCTGCCCCGAGCCGCGGTGACAGCACCTCCCAGGGCGACCCGGTGCGCTCCTTACCCGGGCGCGGCAGGCTGGGATGGGGAAGCGCCCGCGGGCCGGCGCGGGACGTGGCCGGCAGCGGAGCAGCGGCCGGACAGCCCAAGTCCACTGCCCCGCTCGGGCCCCGCCCGGGAGGCCCGGAAGTGACGTCAGCGGGAGGGCGGGGCCGCGGCGGCCGGCGGGGGCGGGGCGGGGCCTGGTCTGGGGGCGGGGCCGGGGGCGGGGGCGGGGCGGGCTGGTGACCGGAAGCGGCTCTTCCTCGGGCGGAAGTGGTCGCTGTCCGGGTGCTGCGGACCCGCGCCTTTCCCGCGCTCGTGCCCACGCGGGTGTCCTCGCCATCGGCGTGGCCGCCAGCTCTTGGGGAGCACTCACGTGCGTCCAGGCCCGTGCTGAGCGTTTAAAACTTTATTTTTTTAAATTTATTTGGGGATGGTCACACGGCGGTGCTCAGGGCTCCGAGCTCAGGGATCGGTCACCCCCCAGCGTGCTTGGGTGCTGAACCAGGGCCCCAGTGGGCAAGGCCCGCGCATGCCCGTCGTGCTGTCCCGTCTGCACCCGCCGGTGCACTGAGGAGTGTCTGCGATCGCGGACTCACCCACACTCCTCATCCCTTCCCTGCTCAGCCGAGTGACAGCAGGCAAGACGCTTGAGTCTCTGTGCCTGGATTGTGTCAGAATCTTTTTTGGAGGGGCCAGCACACATAGCGGTACTCAGTGCTCAGGAATCACTCCCGGCAAATGCATGGGGACCCCGGTGGTGCCGGGAATTGAACCTGGGACTCCCCGTGCAAAGCCTGAGCGCTGGCCCTCTGGACCATCCCCCCCAGCCCTTGAAGATTGTTTCTCTTGCACGTTGTTGACACTGAATTCATGGCTGTTCACAAGCTCTGGCCTCGGCCTGAGGAACCTGGCAGCAGATGGTGCTCCAGGGATCCTATGGGATGCTGGGAGTCGAACCTGGGTCAGCCATGCACAAGGCAAGCGCCCTCCCTGCTGTACTATCTCCCCAGTTCCAGAATTGCGTTTATTTTATTTTATCTGGGGCACCTCCCCAGTTGGGCACCCAGGAGCCATTCTCAGTGATACTGGACCTGGGGCAGGGGATGCTATATTGGGACCAGCAGTGCCACCACCAGTGGTGCTGGGAGGGGTGAGGGCGTGAGCGCAGGGCATGCGAGAGGCCGGGCATGTGCCATGAGCGTATCCCGGGCTCCAGGGGCCATTTTTGGTTTGCTCTCTTTTGGGCCACATCTGGCAGTGCTCAGGGGTTACTCCTCTCCCTTCACCCCGGGGATCACTCCTGGCTCTGGGAACCATATGGGTTGCCAGGCATCGAATCCAGATGGGCCTCACGCAAGATGAGGGCCAGTACTATCGCTCTGGCCCCACCAGGGGTATTTTCAACAGTAAAACCAGCTCCAAGAAGCTCATAGATGAGAATAGAGGAGGGGCGGGAGTGATAGTACAGCGGGGAGGGCGTTTGCCTTGCACACGGTTGACCCGGGTTTTATCCCTGGCACCCCATATGGTCCCCCAAGCATCGCCAGGAGTAATTCCAGAGCCAGGAGTAACCCCTGAGCATCGCCGGGTGTGACTCCAAAAGCCAAAAGGGGGGGTTGGGGCCCACATCTGGGGCTGCTTCTGACTCTGCTCAGGAGTGATCCCCGACAGAGCTCAGGGGACCCCGTGCGGGGCCAGGGATGAAACCTGGGCTGGGAACGCCACTTCCACGCAGCCCAGACTCCAGCCCCGTCCTAATGACATTACACTTAAAAGTAGAGCCCCGTGGGGCTGGAGCGATAGCACAGCGGGTAGGGCGGTTGCCTTGCACGCGGCTGTCCCGGGTTTGATTCCCAGCATCCCATATGGTCCCCTGAGCACCGCCAGGAGTAACTCCTGAGTGTAGAGCCAGGAGTAATCCCTGTGCATCGCTGGGTGTGACCCAAAAGGAAAAAAAAAAATAGAGCCCTGGGGGATGAAGAGACAGTTCAGGGTAAAGCACTTGCGTAGCTTCAGGTGAAGCCCAGCCGACCTGGGATCCATCCCTGGCACCGAATCGTCCAGAGCACAAACAAGGTACCTGGAGAAGATTGATTCCGGATTATAGGTGTTTTTTGGATCCATCCTCTGACTTGTCATTTGCAATGCTCGAAAACTAATCAGCTTTTCTGCACGTAGAGAATTCTGGGTGTGTTGGGGTTCAGAAAACCAGGGCAATAGTACGAAGAGAGGTTAGGCTGACCAGGGGTCAATCCCCGGCACTCCGTATAATCCCCTGAACCCCACCAGGAGTGATTTCTGAGCACAGCGCCAGGAGTAACTTCCTGAGCACCGGCGGGCGTGGCCCAAAGCCAAGTCATGAGAGTGGCCACCGAGAACTTCTGCATGTGTGTGTGTGTGGTGGGGGGGGGAGCGTGGCCCACCCAGCGGGGACCAGGCAGTGCGGGGGTTGAGCCTGACTCTTGCTCATGGCCAGTGGACCACCCTGGACTGGCCCCTTGACACACCCCACCCAAGCACCCGCAGCCTCTCTGGCACTGACTGTGGAATAAAAATGGGCCCAAGGGGGACGTCTGTGGGGGTCCGAGTGAGTCCTGCTTGGTCAGAGCAAACAAACCCCAGCCCACTGTGAACAAGAGTGGCCGGGGATGCTTCCCCCAAGCCCTTCTGTCCTCTCTGTCCCGGCGGCTTCTGCCTCGGAGCCAGCGCGCTCTGGAGCTCTAAACAGGCACTTTCTTGTCAGTCAGACGTTGGGACTTGCCATGTGCCAGGCGCTTTGTTTGCCCATAGATGACTCTGGTGTCTCTGTTCCTCGACTGAGCATGTCCTGCCCAGGCGGGAGGGGTCGCCCAGAGGGGCGGGGCAGCCTACCTGCCTTCCCTGGCACTGGGGGGACCAAACCCCATTGGGCGTGGGAAAGCCTGGGCCTAATCTTGTGCAAACAAACCCTGTGCTGGTCTGGCCTCCGGGTCCTTCCTCAGTTGTTGGATGTAAATTTGCTTACTGGGAGGGTCCTGGGCGACAGTACCGCAGGGAGGGTGGTGGCCTTGCGTTGGCTGACCCATGGCCAATCCCTGGCACCTTATCTGCTCCCCTGAGCACTGCCAGGTGTGGCCCCCGAACAAACCACAACAACCTAGCCAAGTTTGCTGACCGGGAAACACACACATTCACACACTGACACAAGCTGATCCACTCATACACACTCGTGTGAACTCACGTCACACACACACTTTCTTACACACACTTTCACACACGCGCGAAGGCACAGGCTCATCCATTCACACACTCATGCACGCTCACACACGCACGCTCACCGACACAGCCGCACGCATGCACACGCTCGCAGATTCACCCTCACACCCTGACACTCGCACACACACACACACGCAGACTCCCTCGCACAGATGCACACTCACGAACGCTCACACATGCACACTCGCCCTGGCACGCGGTCGCACACACACACACACGCACTCGTGCACACATAGTCGCTGACAGGCACACACATTCTCTCGCACACGTTCGCACACGTGTGGCCCCCCCACACTTCACACTCACTGGCTCGCTCACACTCATCCACTTGCACACTTGCTCTCACACTCACACACCCCGCCGCTCTCGGGGGTGTTGCTCTGCGCCCCCTTGGTGCTCCCAGAAAGGCCTCCTGGTGGAGTGGGGGAGGGGTGCCGCCACACCCGCTGCTCGGGCACTGGTGCTCGTGGCCACGCCTGAGGTTCGACCGTCCCCCATCTCCGCCCCCACTGTGAGCCGCCCTCCTGCCCTCCTGCCTCCTAACCCTGGGGCCCGTCCTGACTTCTCCACCCTCACCCCGGTTCAACCTGGGGCCCGACCCCATGCAGGGAGGCCCCTCCCAGGCCTGATCCCAGGCGCCCCCTCCTGATGCTCCCAGCGCACCCCCTCCCCCATCACCCCTGGGGCTCCTCCACCCCGTGACCCCTCAGCCTTTCGCCCCATCGCCCTCCACCCCGGGATGCCCCGGCTGCCCGCTCCCCACAGGTCTGGCCTCTTTCTGCAGAGAGCAAGGGACGGAGCCTCTGTCACCCGTCCACCCCAGCCCTGACTAGGAGCCACATCCAGACTCTGCTCCCCACTGCCCTGTCCAGCTCTCCCCCCTCCTCCCCTCCCTCGCCCTGCCCTCCCCTGTCCCGTCCTGCCCTGCCCTGCTCCCCAGGAAGCGTCCAGCAGCTGATCCCATGGCTCTGTCCTTCACTGGGAGACTCACTCAAGTCCTGGCCTCGCTCCTGACCTGGGCCACTGTCCCCTTCTCTCTGCCAGGCCTCGTGGGGTGCTTCTGCTGCCCCCCACTGCCTATCAGGGCGCAAAAGTCGTCTCAGCTCCTGCCCTGTCAGACGCTTATCAGGGCAGCCTCTGAGTGCCGTGGGTGCCCCCAACAGGCAAACAGGCCACCCCCTTTGTTCTGTTCACACAACAGTGCCGGGTGGGGTCAGGGACCCCCAGGACTGCGGGGGCAGCTCGTCTCAGCTCTAACCCATCTCTCGGCTTCCTTATTTCTTCTGCTGGAAGATTCCAGCAAATGCACTCCCCCCTCTGCGGGACGGAGGAGCTCTCATGCAGGGATGCCATGTTTCCTTCTTTCTGTGACTCCTGGAAACAGGAGTGTCCTTGTGTGGTAGCCGTTTCTCCTTCCCAAGGTGCTCAGGGCGGACTCCTGGCTCTGTGCTCAGGAGTCACTGTGTGGTGGCTGGATGTGGTGTTAGGGACGGACCCCCCTCAGCTTGTGCAAGGAGGGCGCCATCCCCCGTCTTGTCAGTTCCTAGATCCATCCTCCCGCTCTACTCCTCACCCCCGATGCCCTGGTTGCAGCTGTCCCCTCCTGACTTCTGGGGAACCATGGCCACGTCCTTCGCTTCATTTCTCCTTCTTATCTTTGTTCATTTGGGGACTGGAGTGGTCCGGGCCCTCCCCATCCTGTCCTGTCATCGGCATCTCTTTCTGTCCCCCTGAGACCGCATCTGTCCAGTTTCCCACACGTCCCCACTTCCTTCCGCTGCCAGCCCCCTCCCCGCGGGCCCTTCTCTGGCCTAAGCACGTTTCCCTCGGCGAGA